GCAAAAGCAATTGTTTAAACTTAAAAACATTTTGTACATCAAAGGAAATCATAAACAAAATGAAAAGACAACCCACAGAATGAGAGAAAATATTTGCACCTGATACAACCAATAAGGGATTCATTTTGAAAATATATACAAAGCTCATACAGCTTAATATAAAACAAAAAGAAACAACCAAATAAAAATATGGGCAGAAAATCTAAACAGACATTCTCCAAAGATATACAGATGGCCAGCAGGTACATGAAAAGATGCTCAAAATCATTAATTATAGAAAAGTGAAAATCGAAACGACAATAACATATAACCTCACACTGATCAGAATGGCCATCATCAAAAAGATTACAAATAACAGATGCTAGAGAAGATGTGGAGAAAAAGGAGAGAATAGAATAGAGAGAGAGAGAATAGAGAGAAGAATAGAATTGTTGGGGAGAATAGAATTGGTGTCAACAGTATGGAGGTTCCTTAATTAAAAATCGAGTTGCCCGCAATTCCGCTCCTGGGTATATATCCAGAAAAGATGAAAACTCAAATCTGAAAAGATAACGCATCCCAATGTTCACAGAAGCACTATTTACAACAGCCAAGACATGGAAGCAACCTAAATTGTTCATCAACAGATGAGTGGAAAAAGAAGATGTGGGGTGTGTGTGTATACACACACCAAGGGGATACTACTCAGCCACAAAAATAAATGAAATAATGCCATCTGTAGCAACATGGATGGACCTAGAGATTCACTAAGTAAAGACAGACAGACTGAGAAAGACAAATATCATATGATACCACTTATATGCAGAATCTTGAAAAATGATACAAATGAATGTATCGGTCTGGTTAAAAGGTTTATTCAGGTATTCCATAAAATGTTATGGAAAAATCCAAATGAAATTTTTTGGCTAGAACAATATTTACAAAACAGAAATACACAGAAAACAAATCCATAGTTACCAAAGGGAAGGCAGGGGGAGGGAAAGATGTTAAGTTTAATTTTAATAGATACACACTACTATATATAAAACACATTAACAGCAAGGATTTACTACATAACAGAGGCAGTTATAACCAGTATCTTATAATAACCTAAAGGCAAAATGCTTGTCTGAGGAGGCCTTACAAATAGCTGAGAAAAGAAGAGAAGCTAAAGGCAAAGGAGAAAGGGAAAGACACAAGCATTTGAATGCAGCGTTCCAAAGAATAGCCAAGAGAGACAAGTAAGAAAGTCTTCCTCAGTAATCAGTGCAAAGAGAGGAAAATAACAGAATGGGAAAGACTGGAGATATTTTCAAGAAAATTAGAGACACCAAGGGAACATTTCATGCAAAGATGGGCACAATAAAGGACAGAAACGGTATGGACCTAACAGAAGCAGAAGATATTAAGAGGTGGCAAGAATACACAGAAGAACTATACATAAAAGATCTTCATGACCCAGATAACCACAATGGTATCACTCACCTAGAGCCAGACATCCTGGAATGCAAAGTCAAGTGGGCCTTAGGAAAGCATCACCATGAACAAAGCTAGTGGAGGTGATGGAATTCCATTTGAGCTATTTCAAATCCTAACAGATGATGCTGTGAAAGTGCTGCATTCAATATGCCAGCAAATTTGGAAAACTCAGCAGTGGCCACAAGACTGGAAAAGGTCAGTTTCTATTCCAATCCCAAAGAAAGGCAGTGCCAAAGAATGATCAAACTACTGCACAATTGCACTCATCTCACACACTAGTAAAGTAATGCTCAAAATTCTCCAAGACAGGCTTCAACAGTTTGTGAACTATGAACTTCCAGATGTTCAAGCTGGATTTAGAAAAGGCAGAGGAACCATAGATCAAATTGCCAACATCCTTTGGATCATCGAAAAAGCAAGAGAGTTCCAGAAAAACATCTATTTCTGCTTTACTGACTACACCAAAGTTTTTTACTGTGTGGAATACAACAAACTGTGGAAAATTCTTAAAGAGATGGGAATACCAGACCACCTGATCTGTCTCCTGAGAAATCTGTACGCAGGTCAGAAAGCAACAGGTAGAACATGGAACAACAGACTGGTTCCAAGTCGGGAAAGGAGTATATCAAGGCTGTATATTGTCACCCGGTTTATTTAACTTATACACAGAGTACATCTTGAGAAATGCTGGGCTGGATGAAGCACAAGCTGGAATCAAGATTGCCAGAGAAATATCAATAACCTCACATATGCAGATGACACCATCCTTATGGCAGAAAGTGAAGAAGAACTAAAGAGCCTCTTGAGAAAGTGAAAGAGGAAAGTGAAAAAGTTGGCTTAAAGCTCAATATTCAGAAAACTAAGATCATGGCATCCGGTCCCACCACTTCATGACAAAGAGATGGGGAAGCAATGGAAACAGTGACAGACTTTATTTTCTCAGGCTCCAAAATCACTGAAGATGATGACTGCAGCCATGAAATTAAAAGATGCTTGCTCCTTGGAAGAAAAGCTATGACCGACCTAGGTCATTTCAATATGACCAGCATATTGAAAGCAGAGACATCACTTTCCCAACAAAGTTCTGTCTAGTCAAAGCTATGGTTTTTCCAGTAGTCATGTATGGATGTTAGAGTTGGACTATAAAGAAAAGCTGAGCACTGAAGAATTGATGCTTCAGAACTGTGGTATTGCAGAAGACTCTTGAGAGTCCCTTGGACTACAAGGAGATCAAACCAGTCCATCCTAAAGGATATCAATCCTGAAGATTCACTGGAAGGGTTGATGTTGAAGCTGAAACTCCAATACTTTGGCTATCTGATGCAAAGAACTGACTCATTGGAAAAGACCCTGATGCTGGGAAAGAATGAAGGCGGGAGGAGAAGGGGATTAAAGAGGATGAGCTGGCTGGATGGCATCACTGACTCAATGGACATGAGTTTGAGTAAGCTCCAGGAGTTGGTGATGGACAGGGAAGCCTGGCGTGCTGCAGCTCATGGGGTCACACAGAGTTGGACACGACTGAGCGACTGAACTGAAAACAGAAAAGAATCTAAAAATGTATATGTGTGTGTGTGTGTGTGTGTGTGTGTGTGTAAAGAGAGGCTTCCAGGTGGCTCAGTGATGAAGAATCTGCCTGCCAATACAGGAGATGCAGGAGACATGGGTTTGATCCTTGGGTCAGGAAGATACTCTGCAGGAGGAAATGGCAACTCACTCCAGTATTCTTGCCTGAAAAATCCCGTGGACAGAAGGGCCTGGCATATTACAGCCCATGGGGTCACAAAGAGTCAGATACCACTGAGCAACTGAGCACACACGCATGCATATATATATAAACTGAATCAGCTTGTTATATATCTGAAACTAACACAACACTGTAAATCAACTATATTTCAATTTAAAAGATGGAAAAAAAGACTGTGACTAGCAATGATATCAATAACAATACCAATAAAATCACTAGCTATCCTTACACTTTGTCTCATTTAATCCTCTAAAAAACTGTGACTGGGTAGTACTATTTTATCCTTACTGTAAAGATGAGGAAATTGAAGTGTAAAAGTTTAAATAAGCCTATCTGACATCAAACCATTAGGTTTTTCTCAAGTGCTAACCCTTCTAAGTAGAAACAAGTACTACAGTGTACTTTTCCAGGAATAAATTTGTATTTAGAATACAAAGTATATGCAGTAGGGGAAAAGAAGAATGTATTGGTTTCTACAATTATGTCAAGAGCCTGGCTAGAAAGCCATCACAGAAAGAACTAGTTTCAAAACTGAAATGGAAAATTTACTCCAAAGAGATCATGGAGGGCAAAGCTTTAATTCCAAGGATTTTTACAGCAACAGGGATATTAATAGGTTAGTTGTTGTTTTTATCACCATGTTTTTATTTTTTGCGACCCCATGGGCCGTTAGCCCACCAGGTTCTTTTGTCCATGGGATTTCCTAGGCAATAATACTGGAGTGGGTATTGCCATTTTCTTCTCTAGGGGATCTTCCCCACCTAGGAATCGAACCCATGTCTCTGCATTAGCAGGTGGATGAGCCACCAGGACGCCCCTAACAGATGAGACCAAACTTAAACACACAACAACAGTGAGCGGGTTAATTATGTTCTGTTATACGCATGATACATTATGATACATACTAATCAGCCATTTTAAAATGATATGAAAATATTTAATGATATAGAAACATATTAATAATGTAATAGGCAGAAAAAAAAACAGGTTACAAAAGAGTGATCCTATTTATTAAAAACAAGATATATCCCTCACCATGCGCATCTACCTGGTTTCTGTGTTTGGACGGAGAGAATTCAGATAACCTAGATACTGGAGGATTTCAAACTACCCAAATCTATTTGGCTGCTAGGTTCTAAACAGCAAACAGTAAGAGTTGAAAGAATGATGGATTCATGTGAAAATGTATTTTTTTGAGTTTGGAGAGGGAGAGTTCAGAGAGAATTAAAAATAGAAAAATGTCCAGAAGCGAGGCAGGGAGGTAAAGAGAAACTAAGAAAACCTGAAAGCCCCTCAGACTCCCTTCTCCCAGCACAAATCACTCTGGGGCACAAGCTCTGAATCGTATAGGGTAGACTTCCTGCCTCTACTTCAGTTTTTAGTTCTCTCCTCTCTTAAAAATTTTACCAAATATATGAGGTTGACTGTACCTTAAACATACATATGGTAACTCTCTGTATGAATATACATTTGCACATATGTTTTAAAAAAATTTACAGAGAAGAAAATCTGGAAGGCTACACGCCATACTACTAACATTAGCTGTTTTCAGGGAACGAGGTTCATTTTAATTTTCCAAATTATGCTTAGCTGTATTTTCCAAATGTTCTTATAATCTGGAACATGTATCATTTCTCCAGTAAGCTATAAATACGGATATAGCAAACTGATACCAAAATATGCTAAAACTTTGTGGTGAGGGATAATAACATCCTGATACTAACATTCTGATTTTGACAGCAGCTCAACTTTGTGAGCTTGTGGATTAAATAGAAAGAAGACTGTCTAGTTTTACCTCTAGAGCCTTCTGTTGCAGACGGTCACGTTCTACTTTTTCTTTGCCAACAAACCACACTTCCCACGGTGTCAGGCTGCTTTCTGGTAAGTGCACCTGCTTCTGTTCTTCTTGGTTATCTTCGGATCCAACCGTACTATTACAAAAGAGAGGATACTATAGACCTTGCACTCAAAGCTCTTTTACTTAGCAGTCAAAATGATTTATCTGCACAATAAAAGTAGAATTCCATGATACACTGACAATACTGTGATTTTTATATGTAAATATACACTTAAGAAACTAAGAACAAAAGAGCCCATTGTTATAGTTTATGCTTTAGACAGCCTCTGAACTCTCTCATCTTCTAAAATCACACTCTGTCCATTTGCCTCAAATACAGTAATTTTTTTCATTCTTAAACATCTTATGCCTGGACAACTAATTACAACACATGATCCTAACCAAATCCTGGTGCAGACTTTTCCCTTTTCCTCCCTTAAGTTGTTCACAAAGGAAAGAATACATATCTACACAGTGAGGATGGTAATGCCAATGTGGTAACAATTATGGTTTTGGTGTGAAGGGTGGACAGAGTTCTTTATACCCTCGATTTTTCTGTAAGTCTGAAGTTGTTTTGAAATAAAAAGGTACATAAAATATATGGCCTTGTGTTCTTTAATGGTTTGGTGGACTCCTTTTTGCCAGTTCTCAGACAAAGTGGCCACAATTTCCCCAGAGTTGTCAGTCTCTATCTTCTGGGTACATGGAAAAGTAACCATTCACTCAAGCTCAACAGCAAAGGGAAAGGGAAGTACTTGTGAGTACATATATACATAAAGAACACAAGGCCTTGGCCAGGTACAAGACCCCCATAGGAAAAGTTGAACCATTAGTGCCCATGGAAAGAAAGGTTGTTCAGGACATGAGGCAGCTAGAGAAAGACTGGGTTATTATAGATTCAGCCCCTCTTTGTCTCTTTAACATTCCTGCTTCAGGCAACCAACTGCTTCCCCTATGGCATGCTCAGCTTTTTCTGCCTTGTAACTTTCATTTACTTGTTGTTGATGGTGGTTTTTCCCCCTATTTTTCCATTCATTCACGCAATCATGGAATTTGTGTTCTAGTGGGAAAGGAACACTGTTGTATGTTGTTTACATCCTATATATCTTTGTCTGGCAGAACACTACCTCATCCTCCCATAGCTTCACTGGTCATGAAGGTGCTGATGAGGCCCACTCAAAGGCATTTCAGGCTAGATCTTACTCCTGGGCTCCAAACTTGTATTTTCTACCATTGGATAGATGGCTTCACTTAAATATCAAACTCAATCAATGCAAAACAAATCTAGTCATTTACCACTCACTCACTACCCTCCTCCTATAATCCTACCTCAGAGAAGAGTATCAACACTCACCCAGTTAGCCAAGCCGGAAACACAGATCTTTGACTCCTGCTCCCCAACCACATTTGGTACCGCTCCCTCCCACACCTATACAATTCAGTTTAGTTGCTCAGTCATGTCCAACTCCTTGTGACCCCATGGACTGTGGCACACCTGGCTCCCTGTCCATTACCAACAACCAGAACTTGCTCAAACTCATATCCACTGAGTCGGTGATGCCATCCAACCATCTCATCCTCTGTCATCCCCTTCTCCTCCTGTCTTCAATCTTTCCCAGCATCAGGGTCTTTTCCAATGAGTCAGTTCTTCCAAACAGGTGGCCAGGAGTTTCAGCATCAGCATCAGTCCTTCCAATGAATATTCAGGACTGATTTTCTTTAGGATGGACTGGTTGGATCTCCTTGCAGTCAAGGGTCTCTCAAGAGTTTTTTCCAACACCACAGTTCAAAAGCATCAACTCTTTGGCGTTCAGCTTTCTTTATAGTCCAACTCTCACATCCATACGTGACTACTGGAAAAAACCATAGCTTTGACTAGACAGACCTTTGCTGGTAAAGTAATGTCTCTGCTTTTTAATATGCTGTCTAGGTTGGTCATAGTTTTTCTTCCAAGGAGCAAACATCTTTTAATTTCATGGCTGCAGTCACCATCTGCAGTGATTTTGGAGCCCAAGAAAATAAAGTCTGTCACTGTTTTCATTGTTTTCCCATCTATTTGCCATGAAGTGATGGGACCAGATGCCATGATCTTAGTTTTCTGAATGTTGAGTTTTAAGCCAGCCTTTTCACTCTCCTCTTTCACTTTCAAGAGGCGCTTTAGCTTTTCTTCCTTTTCTGCCATAAGGTGGTGTCATCTGCATATTTGGGTTATTGATATTTCTACCAGCAATCTTGATTCCAGCTTGTGCTGCTTCCAGCCCAGCGTTTCTCATGATGCACTCTGCATATAAGTTAAATAAGTAGGGTGACAATATATAGCCTTGATATACTCCTTTCCCTATTTGGAATTAGTCTGTTGGTCCATGTCCAGTTCTAACTGTTGCTTCTTGACCTGCATACAGATTTCTCAGGAGGCCCCAACTATCAGGGCCCCAACCAAAGGTAAGAGGTAGAGAGGTAGAATAAGGAAATGTTCTAAACACTTCTCTTTCCTGAAAAGAGGTGATTGATTTTCTGAAGCATTTGAGAACAATCACCACATCTATCTGTTCTCTAGGAAGTGGGAAATAAACACTCCTTCAGCAGGCGTTCAGTGAACACCTCACAGGCATCTGACACTTCCCACACACAGGCCTGACAAGGCCTGCATTTTTTCCAGACCATGTCCTACCTATTGCTTTGAATCAGAGGGCATGAACTATGATAAGGAAGGCAGCTAGAGTCCTGGGGTATTACCAGTTCATTTGGGCTTTTGCTGAGGTTTCACATAAATACAACTAGCTCGAAAAAAAAATACAACTAGCTCCTCCCGTGGTGAGCTTCATTTGGTCAGGGCTTTGGCTCTCGAAAGCTAATACAAGGTCTCAGCAGCAGAGTTGTGGATGGCCTCTGGATAGCCATCATTCCCTGGGTTGCTCAACTGTCTACATAGCTTAGTCCTGCTGATTAAGCTCAGGAGTTATTTTCCAAAACCTTAAAATATATTTTAAAAATCATTGGGACCAGGAATTCCCTGTTGGTCCAGGGGCTAAAACTATACTCCCAATGTAGGGGACCCAGGTTCAATCTCTGGTCAGGGAACTATATCCCACATGCTGCAACTAAGATCAAAGATCCTTTGTGCCACAACAAAGACCCAGGGCAGCCAAATAAATAATAAATATCTTCATAAAAATTACTGGGACCAACTCAGTCCTGAAGAATCTGTACAAAGGCCCACATGAAAAAGGACTCCTTTGAAACTGTTTCTTGTTGCTACAAACTGTGTGGACAAGTGGCTTGCTTGCTTACTGTTACTGATCTCCACTCCTACCAATGTACTTACTATTACTTCTTCTTAAGAGACTCACTGTTACAACTGTGTAGGTGAGTCATTTCATATGGCTTCATATTCAGTTTACTCACCCCAGGCATGCATGCCTTACAGCAACAGGGGCGAGATGGTTGCCTACACATAAAGCATGGGTTCTCTGGTCTGTGTTTCTTAGATCTCCTGCATAGTGCCTTGTGCAGCCTGACAATCAGAACCTTGTAAATGCTTTCTGAAGTTGACATAATGAGTCTTACCTCCAAATGCACCTGCATCACCAAGCCTCTCTCAGAAAAAGATATTCCTGAAAGGATAGGCCCTTTGCTCGTATTTCTTCCCAACAACAGGCATGTAGCATAGGCAAGAGAAAACATGATCAGTATACCCTGGTACTAGGCCCAGCTCCTCTAATGACTAGGTGGAAGCCTTCGAATTAGGCTTTTTATTTGTCTTCTGAGCCACAGTTTTGTTATCTGTAAAATGAATGGCTTGACCTAGGCTTTAATTCCAAGAGAGAAGAGACCATGCCTGTCTTGTTTATAGGCCCTTATCTGGTGGCTCACATACTAAAGAATCTGCCTGCAATGTGGAAGACCTGGGTTCGATCCCTGGGAAGATCTCCTGAACGAGAGCATGGCAACCCACTCCAGGATTCTTGCCTGGAGAATCCCCATGGGTAGAGGAGCCTAGTGGGCTTCAGTCCATGGGGTCGCAAAGAGTGGGAGACAACTGAGCAACTAAGCATATATGGCACAAACTAAATGTTTGCTGAAAGAACTGTAGAAATAAATTAAGATGACTTTAATAATCCCTTTAATTCTAGCATTCAATGGCTTCTACTTTTAGTAACTGTTAAGAGCAGCCCTGACATTGTCTCTGGATGCTGAAGTCTTTGCTAACCTCAAAGCTTCAGCTTTTAATCTATGACATAAAAAGTATACTGCTTACTACAACCTACTTCACTGACAACCAGATTTTTTTCATAATCGCTACAGGTATTACTAAGATGCAGTAAACCACATGTGGGTGTTAAAGATTTGAACAAAGAGTTCTAGTGTCCCCACTTTGACTTTTGAGTGTTCATAAAATGCCTGAAACTAGCAATTTCGTGTGTTTAGTGCTCGCTGCTTGTGTGTTTAGGTGTATTTCTCTGGGGAGGAAGATTGCAGCAACCATCACACACTCAGGAAAAGGGACTAAGAACGATGGAAAAATCTGTAGTCATGAGTAAGAACCGACCCAAGACTCTGGGCCAAAAGGAGCAGCACCTGCGGCTGCAAGTGCCCGCGCTGCCTTTTGAGAGGGAAGACAGGAGGGTATCTGGTCGCCAGACGAAGGTACTTAGTGGGGTCTAAGGAAACTTGAGGGGCCTGTATCTCGGATTTACCTGGTGCACCCCTGTAACTCCACTCCTCTCAGGCTCTCCACCTTGGCCTCTGAGTCATAAGCATCTTCGCCCACATCTTCCTCCTCCTCCCCGTCACCATCGTCGTTGTCAAACGGGAAGCTCTGGTGGCCGAGGGGAGACAACAGCGACAGGGTGGAATTGCTGCAGCTCAGCGGTGGCGACAGCGAGCATACCTCCACCGCCTCCAGGCCCGGCCCCCGGGCGCCTGCCAAGAGAACAGAGAAGCCCGAGGACGGCCGAGACCCGGACCTGCAGTCGGCCATGAAACGGGGTTCGAGAAGGGGAGAAGCAGGCCCCCACCGCCCTGCGGCCCACATCTGGCCCGCCAAGTTCAAACCGGCGGAGCGGCGGCCGGGACGTGCTCTCCCAGCAGGCCTTGCGCGCGCCGGCGGGGCCAATCCGGGCGGGCGCGGACTTCGCGTTGCCATGGCGACGCGTGGAGGCCTCCTGGGCTTTGTCCCGGCCTGCAGAGGGTGGCTTCCTGCTCCCGGCAGTCTTTTGGGTGCCCTCCCTCCATCCCAACCTGGATCTGCGCTGCTGCTTGTGAATAAACCTCGCGCTCAGCTCTCGCTCGCAGACGAGGTCCCCCCTCCCGGCTCACAGCCAGGAGGGCCCGTCCGCTGTTTGCTGTGGTTCGTTTGGTACAGAAAATGTGCTGTTACTGAATAAGACAGATTCTTTAAAGGGGAAAGTGGCAGAAGCCAAAACTACCCCCATATCATTACAAGGTTAGGATTGCAAGGATCAGTCACGATTTCTCTCAGCACATGGCCGCACACGGCTGTATTTTAGGAAAAGGGGTGGGGGGCGAAATTTATCCAAGTTTACAAGTATATCTAAAGATACACTTCTGGTACAGTTTCTCATTGTTTTTGGTCGTACCTCGTCTGCCTAGCATCACCTCGTCTTTCTGACATCTTACAGGAACTTGCTTATTCAGGTGAATATATATGAACATATATAAGTCCTTGCTTATACAGGGCCTCTCTGAAGCATCTAGTGTACTGGGGTCTGTACTAAGCACTGGAGATATAAAAAATAAAAGCCCTGCAGTCCTTACTCTTTGCTAGTGGAGAGTCATACCTTTAAAATATCGTGTGATATGTATGCTATGAGGAATGAAAAAAATTTGTGGGACTTAGAAAGGAGCACTCTCCTCTCAGGGACTGAGGGTGGAGATGAAGGTAGTAAGGGAGAGGTAATAGAAACTAAAGCTAGTTGCTTTATTCATGCTAATAAACGGGCTTTGTCCAGCTCATAATGCATATTGCTAGTAGAAATATCACACAATGAAAACAGTGGCTAAAACAGCACACAAGATTTGTCATTGACCAAGGAGTGATACAAAATCTTCGATGACATTTAGATCTGCAAAAATTGACCCAAAGAATTATATACAGTAGAAATAATAGTAACCGAGGGTGATTTATAGTTAATAAAGTATGATATGGTTAAAACTATTTAAATAGAATGTAAACTTTGTTAAAATTTTCAGTAAAAATAATGAAAATGGAAGAAAACGAGCAATTAAAATGAGTGACGAAATTGATGGAGGAAAAATGGCTTTTTTTCATTCTCTTACCTAATTATTCAATAGTGTCATGGCTGGCTAAAACCTTTTAGGTGAGGATCTTTAGAATTAATAAATTGATTGATGCAAAACAGCATCACCCTGGGTCACTTTAGGGCTTCATAAGGGAGTAAACTTGAGAAGCTGTTCCCAACAAACATCACCCCATATTACTGAAGCATAGTAGGAAAGTAAGTTTCAGTATGAAAGGACCTGGATTTGAATCTGTGGTTTTTCTCTAATTTGCTAGGTTTCCCTCAGTAAGTTTCCCTGGAGAAGGAAATGGCTACCCACTCCCATATTCTTGCCTGGGAAATGCCAGGATAGAGGAGTCTGGTGGGCTACAGTCTATGGGGTCACAGAGAGTCGGCCACAACTGAGCAACTAACACACAACATCACCTAAATAAGCTGTTTGGCCTTTCCAAGTCCTTACTCACTCCTTTGTAAAATAGGGAAATTCTGTAATCTGTTTCCCAGTTATATCATCTTATTCTCAAAACTTCTAGCGCAGGATCAGACAAGAGAAAATGGTCAATGGTAACTTGTGTCATATAAGCACCAAAACTTTCCCACTCTAACCTCTTACTATGGGAATCTAAAATGTTTTAAACAATTTATGCCCTTTCCTGGATGCCTCAGAATCATTCAGTTCATGACCAAGTATTGCATTATGTTGTAACAAGTCTGGAACTATGAAGTAAAGAGCCACCAGTGTTGGTGCTTGAACATAATCAAATCCTGTGTTCTTGTTTCTTACAGTGCCTTTTCATTACTGGGACTGAGAAACCATAATCAAGTTTGGTAGAATTATATAAAATGTATAAATAAGGTCAAAAGAAGGCCTCTCCCTTAAGTTTCAGGATGTTGACTTAGTTACTTCTCTCCTTAATACTCAGTTATTTATACATTTATTTTCACTTTCATGGTATATTGGGTATAATTTGTTTTTTTGATTGGCATTGTAATCTTGTGTTAATGAAAAGAGAGACCTTTGCTTGAAAATCTGTTACAAAAGTAACATTATTACCAGTGAGTCCTAAGGCAATATATTATACCTCTTAAAAAAATGTAGCCCTAGACATATTGAAACATTTTCAGAGGAAACAAAATGTCTAGGATTTGCTTCACTGTAATCCAAGGGGCAGAGGGATTCCAGAAGATGAGTGAATGGGATGAAGAAATGACATTTACCACGTGCTCTTGACAACTGCCAAAGTTGGATGATGGGTATGGGCAGTGAGGGCCAAGAGTGTAGGAGGAGGGCTAATTACAGTATTACTTTTGGTGGAAATTCCAAATATATACTGAAGTTTAAAACAAAGCAAACACAAACAAAACAATTAAGGGGAACTGGGTGCTGGTTTGGGCTCTAATTTGCTGTATGTGTCAGGTATTCACTTAAATTTCACTAGGCCGTCTATTTTCCCATCTGTAAAATGAGGGCTTGATGTTTATGAATGCTGAGTTAGTTCTAAGCACAACAGTCCCTCCTTATCCATGAGGGTCCCAAACTCCCAGTGGATGCCCGAAACTGCAGATAGTACCAAACCCTACAAATACCATGTTTTTTCCTACAGTTTTTTTTTAAAATAAACTTTTCTTTTTTTTGTATTGGGGTACAGCCAGTTAGCAATGTTGTGATAGTTTCAGGTGAACAGTGAAGGGACTCAGCCATACATATACAGGCATCCATTCTTCCTCAAACTCCCCTCCTATCCAGCCTGCCACATAACATCAAGCAGAGTTCCCTGTGCTATAGAGTAGGTCCTTATTGGTTATCTATTCTAAATATAGCAGTTTTATTTATCAGTTAGGCACAGTAAGAGAATATCCAAATTACCAGCATCACTATTCTCGTGCTTTGGGGCCATTACTTGAACACAAGCGCTGAGAGTCAGAGATGGCTACTAAGTGACTAACGGACAGCAAACCCTGGACAAGGGATGATTCGTTTCAGAACAGAACAGTGCAAGATTTCATCACACTACTCAGAAGGGCACACAATTTAAAACTTATGAGTTTATTCCTAGAATTTTCCATTTTAATTTTCCATTTTTGGACCACAGTTGACTATGGGCAATTAAAACTATGAAAAATGAAACCTCGGATAAGATAAGAAAGGGAGGACTGTTGCATTTTGGCAATTGGCTATATCTGGAATATGCAATTTAAAAAAAAAAAATCATTTGCTTTTAAATAAGATCTAATTGAAGGTATCCTCTTAAATTTCGTAGTTTGTTTTCCATGAGTATTGTTCAGACTTAAGATACAATAAAACCTTACTTCTAAATTTCAGCAGTGTTCTCCCAACATTTCTTCTAGAACGCTTAAAAATATTTTACTTCAATTTGCTTAGTTTAACACTAAAACAAATTCATTAATATACCTAGTTATAAATTAAGGCAAAATAGATTGCTTTCCAGAAAGTTTAATGATTCAACACACTGCATACAATATTTCCTATCATATGTATAACAGTTTACCACATATTTTAAATATCTGCTATTCTATTATTTAAATGAATGCAATGAAAGTATTCAGTAACATGACTTTTGAAGAAAAAAACTTTTAGCTAGATTTTTTTACCAAGTTATGATTTAATATTTATCAGATGTGTAAATATACAAACATGATGGCAATTTAAAAAACTTGTGAATAGTTGGCCTTACAAAATTACAACACACTGTAAATAAATCCCTCCCACATTTTATACAAACTACATGATTTTGATATACAAAGATTCTGTTTTTATTACACTGACAATGTACAACCAAGAGTATTTACAATGCAAAAAGTATATAAACCACAATTTAACATTCTGCTACTGGCAGCCACTATAGTTTAGGAGGTAGCTTTAATTAAACAAAATGAACAGAAGCCACATTTCCCAACTTGTGTTCTAAAAATAATTTACATAAGATAAAAATTCATTATATGCACATATATACAGTTTAATTATTAAACTGCAATCTAGCTTAATGTTTTTTAGTATCTCATGAACAACTAATATGGCAGTGGATTTGCTATTGATTTAGCATACTGTTCAAAAAATGTATTGAACATTTATAACTTTAAGACTCCATATAATCAAATGTCCATAGATGACTATCAAGTAGAATTTTTAATTTTTAAAGACATAGGCCTAAGCTTTATGCTTTTTTTTTTTCCCTTAGTGATATATTTATCTTGTCTCACAAGAACAGTTTCAGAGCTGTTGCACAGGCTCTTGTAAATCAAAGGAAGGGAAAATATATGGTAGCTTCCAGGTAAGAGCGTAGGTTCAGGAGAATCCAGCTCACTAAGAAATAAAGGTAAGTGCTTTGTGTCATAATTACTCCTGATTTCTTCCACCTTAGTGAAACCATTTGCCACAATTTACTTTCTGTAAAATTCAAGCTACAGGTAGATCACATGCCAACTGAACTGGAAAATACTGATAGAGCCAATGATATTAGGAAGAGTTTTATCCACAAGAACATTATACGGAGTCATCAAGTCCCTAAGATACTTTTAAAATCCCCTGTTAGTAGTTTAGCCAAATCTACGAAAATCACACAGCAATGAGCCCCTTACTTTTTCCTAACAGTATGATCACAAAGCACTGAAGGAAAAATTACTGTGGTCGAAACAAAGCAATGCACAATGAAGACAAATGTGTTCAGTTACTCTTTTAAAAATCTAACAGTTGTTAATATTGTTTTAAAAACATCTTCAGGTTTTAGATTGAAATCTCTTACACAAAACTGATGATTCTATTATGTCAGAGATGGATTAGAAAAATGCAAGAATTTACTGCCTACATCCACTCTCACAGTCCTGTCTGGGAAACACCCCCCCCACCCCCTTTTTTTTTGGCCCTGCAGTAAGTTGTCCTGAGATTAATGATGAAACATTAGATAAAATTAGCAAGCCTTGTTCTTCAATTATATAAAATCACCATTTAAAATATTCTTAAAAAATATTAACAGCTGTTCTCTATCTTGTGCTTAATTCATAAACAGGTATAAATTTGCTCCTTATGGATCAGAAAAACCCAACGTTATATTGCTACGATATACATAAAATCGTTTTCAAGTTAACTATTTGTTTCAGATAGACTACACATTGTTCGGACACTGCATTTTGTCACCAATCGGTAGTTCAGGCACTTGTCCTTTGCAAAGATCTGGTTGAAGAAATAACCTGCCACCTTTCTCCTTCTTCCAAGTGACACCAGGCAGTGATCACTGAAGTGCTTCCCAGATGAGAGATCAGACTAGGGTTCATGCTTATAAACACCGTGATTTTGCTTCATGGGAGAAACAGTTACAAACACATGGATTCAGTCTTTAACTCTTGGGAGATTGTAAGCATAGCGCACCAAAGGGAATCCTCGACTCTGATAGAAGCAGGCTCGTCCGCAAGCCTGAACCTGGTCAGAACTGTCGGAAACAAAGGAATCTTCTTCATCCGCATAATCAGAGTGGGCGGACTGCGTGCCACAGTCGGACCAATAGCCGTCTGGCCTTTGGCAAGAACCCACCGTCAAGGCAGGACAGCTATGTGATTTTATTAAGTGTTTGCAGGACACGGGCTTTGTCAACAGGAAGGCTTCGCAGCAGTCACACACAGTCAGGTTGCCCTGCAGATGCGAGTACATGCTGCAGTCGTAGTAGAAATCCTGCTCCACACAACCAGCCTGGCTGCTGATGGAAACCGAAGCCGATCCGCTTTTCTTGGTAACATGGCGCTTCAGTAACTTCCAGTCTTCTTTAAACTTTGGGTTGAAGAAGACATAGAGGACTGGATTCAGGCAAGCAGGCAACGGGAAAAATATCAGAGTAACAGACTTCATTATTTCGGGGCTGATCGAGATGGCAGTGATCAATGGCGCGAACGAGAAAAACGCCACGGGGCAGAAAAAGATGCAGTTGGTGAAGATGAGCCACGCGACATGCTTAATCATGCTAGAGTGTGAGTTCTCAGAAAGGTCTTCTTTTTCCAAGTTGCAGTAGAGTTTAGTGTAGATAATGGCCATTAATAAAAATGCTAGTGAGTTTAACAGCACTAAAGTTACGGTAAACCCTAACGATGGGGTTTCTCCGGTGGGAAATGGTAAGCACAGAGGGGATGCGGAATACTCCCCTCTATGGAAAAGGGGGAAACAGCCTGCCACTGCGGCCCCCAGAAAAGCCAAAAGGGCAGCAATCCGGAACTGTTTGAGGTGATTGCTTTTCCCATTTTTCATCATATCTTTTGCAGATAAGCTTCTTTCGACGGCTGCTAACATTAATAAAAATATGGCGCTTTCTGAGGAGAAAACGGCAAGAAACCCAGCTATTTTGCAACCACTGCCTATCTCCCACCAAATGCCAAATTCGGCAAATCGGCCCCAGGAAACAGCATCCAGAAAAGTTAAGATTCCGGTATAAGCTCCCATGAATAAGTTAGACACAGAAATCAGACCTATGAACAATTTGGAGGAAGGCACCGATGTACAAGATGCAAATGTTGTTAAAATGACAAGCAGGTTGAAAAACAATGCAACCAAGAAAATGAACCACACAGTAAGACGGATCATCCAACTTCCCAGCAAGTATTCGCAGGGCTTAAAAGCACCTAAAATGAAAGAGAGAAAAGACAATTTATAAAAGACTATCTTCCATAAGATATGGCTTGAGAAACTATTAATAGAATAATTAATCTACTACCAAAGTGAATTGACCCAAACTGAAAAGATTATCATTTCTTAGGCATCTAATGAACTAGGCTATTTAAAAATTTATTTTAATATGTCATCTTAATATATATTTATTTCTTTTATTAACTACTTGGCAAAGTCATACAGTGATATTTAAAGGAAAACTTTCACTTTTTCTCATACTGAAGCTAATATACATAGCACAGTGACTAGTATGTGAAAGTTACTTCATATGGGGCTTGGAATCAGATAAACTAGGGTTTGAGTTAAGGGTTTATAACTTGCCGCCTTTAAGAGGGCAGCTTAAACCTTTATAAATTTCATTTTCCCTCTTGTGGATAATAACACCTATTTCATAACATTGTGTAGCTTAAGTAAAATTACACACACAAGGTAACAGGCTAGTAGGTACATAGCTGGACTTCAAAAAATGTTAGGTCCTTATCTTCTTTCTTCCCAGTTCCTAATATACTTTATACTAATTATATATGATATGTATATGTAACATATATTTTATACACATTTCTTACAGCCTTCAAAAGCAATCTGATGAAGAAGGCTAAGACAAATATAATTATTCCCATTTTTCATGCAGAGATTTCAAAGTGTTTGGTAGACCTGACAGAGGTCATTGAACAAAATTGTACAGTGAGAGCTAAATTACATTGATGTTAACAAATCATGTAAAACTATGTCCAATAACACCCTGCATCACTTAAACTAGAACTGCAAGAACTAATTTAGTAGCTGAGTTGCATGTTCTAGCAACTGACTTTGGCATGCTAGTTATGTCCCAAATGACAACTGTTTCATTTAAAGGTTACTAAAGAAAAACAAAATGTTTTCTGCAGAGCACAAGAAAATGTGTTTGATACATCCTGTAAAGCATCTTTATCACTGAGATATTCACAGACCTAACAAGCCAGAGCTCACTATTTATATCAATTTGACTGAAGAAACTTACAAAAAAAATTTTTTCTAGTTAATTTTTTTATTTCCCCCTCAGGGAAGTGTGAAGAGGAAGCTTTCACCTTTATCTCTGAATCTGAACTCATCCTTCTACAAGGAACAGGAGTAGCTCACATCATCCGGGAGGATGGGACACCCTTTGGAAAGTGTTTGAATAGTGGGTGGAATTACTTTCCCTCAAAGGCCTGGGAAGTCAGTTCCATTCCTCTGTCTTGGAAACCCGCTGCCTCCTCCAGTTTTAAAAGAAGGTCCCTGCTCTCCTCACTTCCTGCTTCTGTGTCAGCACATGGCTATCTCTGTGTTACTACATCGGAGTGGAGTTGGGGAAATAGGTTTGCCATTCACTCCTACCGCCGCCTGGGGAGATGAGCTCAGGCCAACTTTCCTCCTGGCCGACCCCCAAAGTTTAAAATCAGAGAGAAAGAAATGGAATCTCTGCATATTCAGGTCTAGACTCCCCTTTAATAAAGACTTTCCATTCCTTAAGTCCAATACAAAAACTCCAGCAAACAAATGAGTGAACTACAGCCCTGGACTTGTAACAATACCTTTTATAGATTTTATAAATGATTCTGGTCAACCCCATTCACTCATCTGATTGCTATAAACTTATTCTCTACACCAGGAACTGTGCTAAGTATTAAAAAAACACATACACAGCCTCTGAAGAAGCTCACCAATTCAGTAGTAATCATTAAAGAATCCATAATACTTATGATTCTGAGTTATAAAATTAATGTTCAGAATACCCTGTGTGATTAAACAGGAATCTACTTCATAGCACACAACTTAGCCATTTAAAATTTTTTAACAGTAAAATTATACATCCATCTTCTCTGGTAGATTAGGCAGGATATCACAGTCATGACCTAATACTAACTTGTGGTGTCAGTTTAGTAACTCTCCCAAGTCTACTAAAGTTCAGTGAAGTAAAATAGAAAAGTAGACAAGGTTGCATTTAAAAAATAAAAGGATAACACTAAAGTCTTTATAGACCAGTAACTTCTAGAACTATCCCAGGGTTAAAATTGCGTGAAGAAAGTATCTCTCCATCCTTAATGTGTGTAACCCCCATCTGGGAAGCTTGTTAACATGAAGATTCTGAGTCACTGGGTCTGGCCCAAGATCCTGCAAGAGATGCCTAAGCTCCTGGTATACAGACCACAGGTGAATCAGGTCTTATGAAATCATCTAGCCCTACTCCTGTTACAGAAATCACATTTATCCCCAGAAGTTTTAGATTCATTTGCCTAATGTTCGTTTAAAGCAAGAAACTGTGCTTACCTGTCGAGGGTGTGCAGTGGATAATGACTTGACTGTGCTCCTCATTTTCAGCACTGCTGGTGACACCTGCCACATCACTGAGACCTGAACATATAATACAAACTGTTCAATTCAAGCTGCAGTCAGATTAAAAGAGTAAAACACTTTTCTGGCAGTGTTTTCTCTTGTACGTGATTTAAGTCCAGTGTGCACCACACTTAATAACATATTAAAGATGTCAGAACACAGTACACAAAAGCCATTTTTTCTCCACAGATTTCATACTGATCCTTCACAAACTGATTACAATAACACAGACTTTGACTAATGCCGTAAAGAGTGTTCTGTTTTTAAAAGTTCATGCACTTGCCTTTATCCTTTGAGCCACTGTGGTCTTGCAGGCTGTTATCTTCTGTGTTTGAATGTGCATAAGAGTCACAACCCCAAAATGCACAGCACTGATAAGCATATGGTACAGATAAAGACCTGGAAAAAAAATGGCAAAATCTATACTGAAATACCAACTTCACAGACATGCTTTTGTTTTGTAAAAAGTAAATACTTTAAACTGGTCCTTATCCTCTCTGGACTTAGTTTCCTCATTTGTTAAAAACAAAGGCTCTAGTATCAGGGGACACCATGAGTTTCTCCAATTAGATAAGGTATGATTTGAAAAACTGAATTTGAATCAAGCCATCTTTAAAGCTTAATAGCAATACTGCAATTTAAAGAAAAATCTTATCAGACTCCTTTTATAAATGAATTAACCACACCGAATGTATTATATGAAACTGGTAGTTTCATTTAAAATTAATGTTCCAGGTCATTTGTGACTTTACACCATTAACGAATTCACATTCTCATATAAGTATAATGAAAATACTTTTTCTCTTCTCCCATGATAATATTCCCAAGTGCTCTAGCCCTACTATATCTAAGGAGGTCCCGCTCTGTCTCTATGAAGTATTATCACATTGTATCAGTTTTCTGTAGGCCCATAAGTGGTTTCTGCTATCTTGTTGCAAATGATAAATCCCATTATACATAAAACCATTCTGATGAAGAGCTATATTATCTCCTTGACAGCATCATAGGTTGCAGTTCATGTTCTCAACAGCAATGGAATAGGGCTCTATTTTTTTCCAAATTTGTGAGGATTGAGGTTGAAAATCTGGAAACCACAGCAAGAAAAAAAAAAACCAAGATACTCTATAATCTGAAGGCCTACCAACACTTCCAGAAAAAAGAAAAATAAGAAAAACACACCTGAGATTAACAAAGTCTTTTGCTGCCAAGGCTTCTTTCAGCTTGAAGTTGCCCACAAGTTTCAGTTGATTTAGCCCATTTAGGCCTTCCGTTGGAAATGAAGTTAATTCATTGAAACTTACATCTCTAAAATGTGAATAAGACTTCAAATTAACTCCTAAAACACAAGTCTGTACATGTATTAACATCATGAATATTAGAGCTTTAAGAGGAAGTTTAGGTAAGGAAAAACCATTTCAGAAGCTGTCACTACATCATAGCAGGTTAGCATTTATACAAAGGAACACTCAACAGAAAGACAATTTGGGAAGACAATGCTAAAACACAAGTTTCTGTAGACTATTCACTACTTTCATGATATTGTTGCATGAAACTTACAAGTTCGTTATTGACCCAAGCTTGGCGAAAGCTCTGTCATCAATTTCATGGATCAGGTTTCTACTAAGATCTCTGCAATTACAAAAATAAATTGTTAACTCCTTTCAAATAAACTCGAAATGCAATTACTTTGACTACACTTTAGGATCTGCTGCAGTCATAGTTTCCCTGATAAAATCATAAAGATCTTTAATCCTGTTCAACAACATTTTTAATATTTATGTCGAAGGCCTCCCCTTAACAACCATCTATTTCTTGGAATGTGTTCCAGGGAGGAGTAATTTCAGTTGGCATCCGTTTCAAACCAGTTGTGAATTTTCTCCTCCTTATCGTTCTGGTACCAGTTCAAAAATACAAATGATATGATATAGCTTCTGGTACTACTAACTAGGTGAGGAGAAGCCCAGCTCCTGACAAAGCTGAAAATAAAAACAGGCTTAGTGTTGTTTGCCTTCTCAAAGGTTAGTGATAAGGCCCTTCGGGAAGACAAAGAATCAATATGCAAACAAGAGCATTCCAGAAGGGCTTCAGATATCATTCTTCCCCCAAGCAGGAAAAAAAATCCATATCAACACCAGAGCCACATACATTCAGGAACACACCCTGCGGAATTCTGATATTACAGAATTAATAGAACAGAGAAGTGATCTGCAGTCACACTTACACGGAGCCCTAATGGAAATTTAAAGATAAGGTAAATTCATTCCGTGACACATCTCCTGGATAACAGGAAAATTCGACAGACTTGGTTCCAAATCGTGACAAAGCAAGGCAGCTTTGCACTGTTGTCACTTACCGGTGCTCTGGAAGTGACTGCATCTGGGAATCAGTCCCTTTGCCTACTACTGCCCTGACCCACAGGAAGCCCATCTGCCACAAGGCAGGATCCAGAAACCCAACTACCAATAAAGTGTTTTTCTAGTAGAACACATGTGATTTCTTAATGGGGATCTATTGGAAAACATGATATATTAGTATCTGTAATTTCAATTCACTGTCAATGGTTCCAGTTTTTTTCTATATTAAAAAAAATGTTTCCTAATTAAGTGTATTGTGTCTTCTGTATTGCATGAAGGCAGTGACATGGTTTGTCTTAGTCATCTCTATATTCCCAAGTGCTTAATAGAGTACGAGGCACAAATATGTCCTCAAATACAAATCACTTTTTAAATGAATGTGTCTGCTGTGTATTAGCTGTGTTTGTCATGAGGGACACCAGTACAGAGGTCAGCAAACCTCTTCTGTAGAATCCCAGACAGTAAATATTCTTCATCTCTGGGGGTCACATGGTCTCTACTGCAACTATTTGACTATGCCATAGCATGGTGAAAACAGCTTTAGACAATACTTAACCAAAGGACATGGCTGTGTTCTAGTAAAACTTAATTGACAGAAACAATAAGCAGGTTGACTGTGACCCACAGGCTATGGTGCCCACCCATCACCTAAAGAACTGGCAAACTTCATTTCTATTACTTGAAAATACACAAGGTGCATTTCTCAAGCTATACACATTATATTCTTTTGAGTCACAAATCTCATAAATTAGCTAAGGTTAGGAAAAAAAAACACTGAAAAGAAATTAAAGTATCACATGGTAAAGTTTGAAAAATAGTATTTATCCATAATAAATCTTGTATTTAAGTATATTTACTAACATGGGAATTGTAATGATATATTAATTTACAGCTTGACAACAATTTTATTTGCCTCTGATAATCATAGAGGAACTTACAGAATCTTTAGGGATGTCAGGCCTTGAAAAGTATCTTCCTTTATTTGGTGGATCTGATTTCGCTGCAAAGAACTAAAAAAGAATAAGATGAAAGGTTAAAAAAAAAAAGAGAAAAACAACAGAAAATATTTCCTATTTTGAAAAATAACATTTCTTAATTAACTTTTTCGAAGTTTAAATATTGATTTACAAGTAACACCAACTGATCTTGTTGAAAGTAAAGAGAACTGTTGTTGCCCCATCCGGGGGATGAAAGGACTAGACTAATTGGTATTACACCCAAAATGAAACTAACAGTTAAGGTACACTATCTAAATTCCTCACCAACTCCACTCAGGAGTGAGAGCAGGAAAACAACACAGTGAGAAAGGACCCAAGACACTATAAAGCCTTCAAAAGATATGGGACAACATTAATTGTACATGACTAAGTGAAAGAAGAGTCTAGAAAAGCTACATACTATGATTCCAATGAAATGACATTTTGGAAAAGCCAAAATGATGGAGTCAAGAAAAAAAACAGTTGTTCCCAAATCTTAGGGTGGTGAAATGACTCTGTATAATACTATAATAATGAACACATGTCATTATACATTTGTCCAAATCCATAGAATGTTCAATACTAATTAACCCTAATTAAACTATGTATTCAGGGTGATAAGGATGTGTCAGTATAGGTTCATAAATGATAATAGAGTCCTATTCTGGTGGGGAATGTTGACTCTGGGTAGGCCATGTACATATGAAGGCAGGGAATATAGGAAATCTCTGTACCCTTTGTTCAATACTGTTGTGAATTTAAAGCTGCTCAAAAAAAATAAATTCTATTAGAAAAAAAAAAGGACCCAAGACAACATAACCATGTCAAGTAGTCAAGTACTGCAGAAAGAAGGTCAGAGGAAGGAGGAGATATTATAAACATGGGAATATTAGTTCCTCCCTTTCTCGACCTCCCAGTCAACTCCCGCCACAGCTGTATTATAAAGCTCCATGGCAGACATCCACACCTGGACCAGCTTCTGTTTGGCTGCTTTTTCCTACTGCCCTCCTCACATACAGTCCCACAGACTGCCTGACAGACAGGTGCCCAGTGCTAGCCACATGAACACACCTGCTGTCACTGAACACTTATTCACAGGGACACCTGATTATATGAATTCCTAAGACCTTAATGTGAGTCATTTATTCACAATAGGAAAGGCTCAATGAATTAACAGTAGACCACAGCAAAAAGAGTCAAAGACCAACTTACATTTCTTCCAGAGCATGGCAACCATTAAAGCTCGGAAGGTCTTTTATACTGTTGTAAGACAAGTCCCTAAAACAATGCAAATGGAAAATGGCCAATTAGTTTTGTTATCAGAGTACCATATTAAGACAGCTGTGTTCAGAAGCATCAAAAACAATGCTAAGATCTGTTATAAAGAGATATGCCTGAACAAGAAAAGAAACTTTGTTTTCCTTATACTTGTAAGCTTTCCAGAGTACCTTAGAGATAGAATAAGCTTAAGATGGGCAAACGTTGAGTACATAATATTGAGTATAGACACCATAAGATATTTTAAAACATTAAGAATATAAAATAAATATGAAAAATACAGTACAGGAAATACGCAAAAATTATGTTCACTTGGTAGAGATATGGATTTTTTAATTTATAATTTTATAATATTGTTATACCATAAATAATGCCCATGTTATTTAATTAAAAAGCGAGAAGAGGAGTGGTGTGTGCACTCATATTTTAAAAAATACTTATATTAAATAAAAAAATGGGGACTAGTTAGCTCTGTTAATCCCACTGCAGTTTTCCCTCAATGATATCATTGTGTTTGATACTCCATGACACCATTTAATTACTTGCTTGCTTGGTCAGTCACTTATTTTGTTAGTATCTCTCACCACTGAACACAATAACTTTGTAACTTAACTGTTTTTCTGACATTTTTACATGTTTTATTTACTTTTAATTTTCAGGGCAGCTTCGAGATTTTGGAAAGCTCCAATACTTAATTGGTTCCCGATCCAAGAAAGATTTGGGCTCTTACTTAGGTTATGGTGAAAGAGCTGCATACAGAGAGGTAACTACCCTGGGGCAACTAGAATAAGGATGAGGGGTCAGGATAAAAGAAAAGAAATCAAGAAAGAGCCCAGTATGGTTTCACTTTATTCAAAGTAGAGTCACAAGATGGGAGATATACATACAACTGCAAAACAAAATTCAAATAAACTTTACCTACCCAGGGGGATACCAGAACACCTGCTCATTTCCATGAAAGGAATGAATAAGAAATAATTATACCATAATGTCACCAAATGAAAACAGTTTATTAAAAGCAAAACTCAAACTATGTGAAATACATAAAAGAAAAGCAGGAGACGGGAAGAGGAATCCAACTTACAAAGTCCTAAGTCTCTTCTGTTCCTGGCACAAATTACTGGATATACTGCTTATCTTCGTACCTGTCAAGGTCCTGTGGAGAAACATTGTTTGCCTAAGAAATGATTCAAGTTGTGATGGTAAACAAAATGCTATTCTCACAGAGAAAAGTACATGTTCACATATTTCCATATGGACCAGAGTCTGTGTATCCTACTGCCTAACTACTCCCTAAAGTGGGAAAACGAATGAACCCTCTAATGAAGAAAAGTTTTGTGATAAGATAGATGTTCATAGTGTCCAGAGGATAAGCTTGAGTTCTCATGTGGTTCAACAGAAAAAAACAAATCCATAGTTATAGCTGACCATGGTCACCTGCAAGTCTGTCACCCCCTCACACCCAAAATATTTGAAACTAAGTTATTATCCTGCCCCCCAAATCTTGATTCTGTCTACTATTTCAATCAGCCTGACTCAATATTCTGAAATTTTCTTTTAATCCCTGTATGATCAGGCCCCTCAAGATGGCTGCTCTCTTGCTCTCTGTATAATCCCAGCCCAACCAGTACCTGCTTCACCTACACGCTACTCACATAACTGGCCTTCCTACATACTTGTCCCAGGCCTGGGACAGTGAAGGGCGTGCCCCTCTGCTGGTTTCCCTGGTAACGGATGAGCCAACCTGATGTCTATTCCTAGCAATATAACTGGCAATCTCCCCTTCCCCTCCACCACCCTGGGGAGCAAAAACTGCATCATGTCCTGTCAGCTGGGAGCTGGTGGGGTGTTGCTCCAGGATCCTGCTTCAGACATGTAAGCTCCCCCCATTCATTAAACCACTGATGTCTCTATTGCTGACACTGGGCTCTTTCTTCAGTCTTGAAGCTGGGCAAGTGCAGGCCCTATAAGACCTGTGGGGTGCAGCCCAATAATCCATCCTCCCTTTCCACGTCCCCATCTGCACGCAACCATCAATTTCTGTCTTATCTTCTTCTACAGATCTCAGCCTCTGACCCTTTTCATTTCTACTGCTACTATGCAGATCAAGGGTGAAATGATGCAGACAGGGATGGAGGAATCTCAGGCCACATGGAGGAATTCCAGGGATGGATTGAAGACACAGAACTCTCATAGCTAAATGTGCTCATTTAGCGAAGTAGAGTATTCCCATGGCCTCCTCATGATTCTAGCTCTAGTATTCTCTTCTTACCCTCTTCTCACCACCTCATCCAACATTTTTAACATCTCCAAACTGCCTTGAGAGTTGAATTTAAACTCCTTAGCTCAATGCTTCCTGACTTATCTTAACACTTTGGCACACATGAAAATTGTAACCTATGCAGCATACTTGTGGTCCTTGTGGCAGAGACCCTAGCCACGTCAGAGCCCACGTGGCTTCTGGAGGGCTGAGGTCATCAAGATCTTACATGCACCTGCAAACTATTCATAGGCCACCCATTGAGAAGCTCCGCCATAACCAAATGATCAGTGTTCAAGATTTGTCATTTTAAAATTACAAGCCCAACAATTTTCCAAATTTATCCATATCATTCCCCATGCTATTATAAACAAGTCTAGCTATATTTGATCATCTGTATGTCATACTTAGGCTTCCTAGATGGCTCAGTAGTAGAGAATCTGCCTGCCAATGCAGGAGATGAAGGAGATGCGGGTTCATTCCCTGGGTGGGGAAGATCCCCTGGAAAAGGAAATGGCAACCCACTCTAGTATTCTTGCCCAAGAAATCCCATGGACAGAGGATCCTCGTGGACTATAGTCCATGGAGTTACAAAAGAGCTGGACATGACTTAGCAACTGAGCACACACGCAGGCTATCAGTTCAGTTCAGTCGCTCAGTCATGTCCGACTCTTTGCAACCCCATGGACTGCAGCACGCCAGGCTTCCCTGTCCATCACCAACTCCCAGAGCTTGCTCAAACTCATGTCCATCGAGTCAGTGATGCCATCCAACCATCTCATCTTCTGTCATCCCCTTCTCCTCCCACCTTCATTCTTTTCCAGTATCAAGGTCCTTCCCAATGAGTCAGTTCTTCACATCAGGTGGCCAAAGTATTGGAGTTTCAGCTTCAGCATCAGTCCTTCCAATGAATATTCAGGATTTCTTTTAGGATTGACTGGTTTGATCTCCTTGCAGTCCAAGGGACTCTCAGGAGTCTTCTCCAACATCACAGTTCAAAAACATCAATTCTTCAGTGCTCAGTTTTCTTTATAGTCCAACTCTCACATCCATACATGACTACTTTAAAAACCATAGCTTTGACTCAATGGACCTTTGTTGACAAAGTAATGTCTCTGCTTTTTAATATGCTGTCTAGGTTGATCAAAACTTTCCTTCCAAGGAGTAAGCATCTTATAATTTCATGGCTCCAGTCACCATCTGCAGTGATTTTGGAGCCCCCCAAATAAAGTCTCTCACTGTTACCATTGTTTTTCCATATATTTGCCATGAAGTGATGGCATGCATGCCATACTCAAGTAATTTTCAGTATTCCCCATTTCACTAAGGCTTGCTTTTCTAAATAAAAGACCCAGCTCAGTGAAATCCAATTTTGAAGCATTTCACCTCTTCCATAAAGCCTTTTCTGATAGCTTACATGGACTACTCCACTTCTGAACTCCTAAAGCACTGCTTCTAATCTGCTGCTTACTTACTGCCTTATATTCTCAGAGACTTTTTCAGATTCTACCTCCACATACTAGGCAATACTCTACCTGAGTTGACTGATTCCAAACCCAATACCATCCATCTCTATGCATGATATTCACAAAGCAAGGATGTAGGAATCAACATTAACTCATTATCATCACCAAAAAGTACTAGCAATGTACTAGCAGGCCAGTGTGGTGTTATCTTTACACACCCTCGCTTCAAAGAGCCACACTTACAAACTCTCCAGACGGACAGTTCCAGTCAAGTTGGGGAACCGCTGCACCATGCTTGCACCACGAATGACTCTTTAAGAAATTGCGAGAGAAAAAGTAATTTAAAATAAAGAAATTTCATAGATAATATTTTAAACTTATTTTTGAACGAGCTTAAAATTATAATGCCACTATACCTAAAAAGATTAGTTTCTGAAAATGTGATCATTTTGACCAAGTGTTCATGAATAAATAAGAACCACTGTAAATTTGGGGAATTGTCTTTTGGATTTCCACCCAAGGAAAAGAAAATAAAACATACTGTTTTCTGGAGTTATAATAATAAATTCTAGTTTTCCATTAAAGCAATGGTGTAAATATTCATGTTGTTTTTAAATTTCTATAATACTTACAAGGAATGTAGTTCAGACAAATTGTGAAATGCTGAGTTCCCCACAAAAGATAGAGGATTATCATACAAATGTCTGTAAAAATAGCCAAAAAAACAAAGTTTCCATGTGTTCACAAGCACTTCAACACTAAATCTATGTTCACAAAGTTAATATATCCAACAGCCTGAATTTTCATTCTTCATCCAGATGTTTGGCCTTGTACAGACACTGCTTTACATGATTACATATTAAAAGAAAATTTCAAACTACTTACATAGTTTTTAAGAGTGGATTACCATCAAATGCTCCATCAGGGATAACAGAAATAGAATTACTATGAAATAACCTACAAAGATAGAAGAAAAATATTTTGAAATGCTTATCCTCTTGTGAAATAAGTTAAAACCCAAATATCTACTACTATTCAGTAGTATATAAAATGTAACTGGTAACAACTACATTAACAACTACATAAAAATTTCAACAATGTGATGAAACCAACGTTTTAATTCCAGCTCATCTTTTTCAGGACCATACCTAATTCTCTCTAAACCCACTGCTTAACCTATTATTGCTTCCCTGATGGCTCAGAGGATAAAGCGTCTGCCTGCAATGCGGGAGACCCACGTTCAATCCCTGGGTTGGGAAGATCCCCTGGAGAAGGAAATGGCAACCCACTCCAGTACTCTTGCCTGGAGAATCCCATGGACAGAGGAGTCTGGCGGGCTACAGTCCACGGGGTCACAAAGAGTCGGACACAACTGAGCAACTTCACTTTCTTTCTTTCTTTCTTATATACTTTTAGCTTGCTTCATCCTGAAAGAACTTCAGACCACAAGAATCATAGGTATTCTAACCTCAAAATCCCTCTCATTATTGCCTCCATTTAGTTTTTAAGCAACGAATCTCGGAATATTAGCCATCAACTGATGAAACACAATCTCAATTATACCATGGCATTCTTATCTCTGACCTTGACAAATCCAACATCTAAAATGCCCCCTCATCTCTCATTTATCTAAACATTTCCATTCTTTCAAGTCCAGTCAAATTCCTTCTCTTTGGTGATGTCTTTTCCAATGACCCCAAGCCTCAATGAGGTCTTTTTCTAGAGTGATTTATTGATCCTATTCATGCAGCATTTATTTCCACCTAGAGAGTACTCTTTGTCTGTCTTACATAGTCAGCCTCCCCAATGGGACCAAGACCACAGCTCCCACAAAGCAGAGACTACGTTATGGCTTGTTTCACTAGAATTCAGACTTACACAGTAATACATGCTCAAAACTGTCCAGGTTAGCTGACATAATCTAGTCTGTATCATTATATGTGTGTGTGTGTGTATTATGGAACATGCAATGGAACAACAATGTTCTAAAATCTCACTGTCCAAATTGTGAGTTCTAGGGATATTAAGGCATAGAGAGAGGAAAGCAATACTCACAGCTCTTTTAGGCTGGGGAGAGCTTTAATAGCCTGAGGAAATTCCCCCAAATTATTATAGTTCAAGTCCCTAGAAAAAATTAGGAAAATATGTAAGAACACTGAAGAGGGGTCACAATTTATAAGGCAATTTGGTATAAATAAATATATATATTTTAAATCACATCCTCTGGATGGTAATCTTTCTTTGCCAACAACTGTCATTCCATTTAATTAAATTTACACTTTTTCTTAAAATATTGAATACAAAAAAGAATCTTAATTCTTCACTTTTAAACATTTTTTACAACTTTATTTCACTTAATTTACCATAAAAATATTAGGATTTTATTGTCTTTTTTATTTTTTAAACTTATTTTTAATTGAAGGATAATGATGCTTTAAGTCAACAACTCCAAAAGTTCAAAGAATTCTTGGAATCACATATTACTGGTGCATTAAATAAACAAATCACCTGAATGGCAATTTTCCATAAAATAGAATGTATTGACCATCCATTTATACATGACAATAGCCTGAAACTGAGGTTTCTGTTTGAGGTTTAGAGTAAAATTCTGGTATGAGGGTAGCTGACTGACCTCAGCCCTACTATCAGCAGGATACGGAGAAGGACTAAGATGGGTTCATACAACTACAGTACTCAAGTACGTTAAAAATTGTAGAAAAAGTTGCATTAATTAGCAGAGAGAAAAGCCATAGTGATCTGTACTTTTAAAAAATCTTAATTCTGAGTGTATTTAAACTTTCATTTTGTTTAACCTAGAGAGAATGTTCACATACGATCAGCGACTGATTTCAGAATGAAAATAAACACTCAGCTCCTTGGAGACCTATTTTATTCTCCTTTACTACATGGAAAAAAGTGGTAAATTAAAAAATCAACTGGGAAGAAAGTGTTTAATTTTAATATAATTGGAATAATATACACAGTTTAGGATCAAAAGGCTGGCCCAGTCGTCTTTTCCACTGGCATTTATATACTTAGGAAAGAAGAACTGGGTTTATCAGTTCTTCAAGAGCTTTCACTTTCAAATATCCATTGCTGTTTATATCCTTTAGTGGTTTAAACAGGAAAGTGAATTAATAAAATACTAGAAGATTTTAAGTCTTCTCATTGATTGACAGTTAACCAAAAAGTCAATTAAACAAAATACTGATATCAAAAACCCTAAACATTTCAATCAGGTGTTACTTAACCATCTAGCTGGGACATTCTCTGAATCATTCACTATACCACAATGGGAAATCCTAAACATCTCCTAATAAAGGCCACGAATAAAATCAAAACAACAAATATAAAGGTCCTAGTCTTGTTTACACACAGCTGCATCATGTCTTTTGCTCATATCATGGTACAGTGGACAGCTGAAACAGCCAGAATTCCCAAATGCTCTAACAACAGAAATAACAACAAAAGTATCCTAAGCAAAATGGAAACCTTCATTGCATTTAGCAGATAAAAGTCAAGACAGTATTCAAGCCCACTGTTAACAATTAGCAAGACAGCCGAGATCATGGAGAAAACAAAGAAACTAACCAGCTTTTCCAGGATCAATTTTATAAGGTTCCAAGTTCCAAAACTGTCTATCATACATTATAAAAGAACCAAAATTTCTGAAATGGTGTATAGCTTGGCAAACTCAGCTGTTTCTACCATGTCCTTTTGGAAGAAATATCAAGCTCATTCTTGTGCAACTTTTTAACCAGAAACCTAGATTAGCTTTCATGACTGTGCTAGCTGAAGGCAAGACTTTAGTCGTACATTAAAACAAATTAATTATTATAGCAAATTAATAATGAGCTGAACTCAAGACCATTACTTTTTTCTGCAGTGAAATGCCCAATTGCACCATCAACATCTCAAATGTAATTATCCAAAGCAGAAATAAACTTACAAGGTCTCCAGGTTATCAAGTCCATCAAAACAGTGTTGACCCAGGTTTTTGATTTTATTGTTATGAAGATGCCTATGGAAAAAAGCATCAGGTTCATCAAAACAGTGTTGACCCAGGCTTTTAATTTTATTGTTATGAAGATGTCTATAGAAAAAAGCATCAAAATGACTTTCTCATGACCTAGTAGCAACTATTATCATGTCTAAATTGGTAGTGCTTAAAGGAATGGTGCAGCTAAACACTGCAACACTCAACTAATAGAAAACAAACAGCATTGAGTAGATATCTCTTGATAAACACTGTACAAACTCAGATTCACTGGACACAGGAGGCCAATGGAAAAGAAATATCGCTCTAGGGCAGAAAGGTTACATACATGGAAGATTATTGAGAAGTTACCCAAAACTAAAGTTCTGAAACACTTTTAATTATATGAAGTGAAACTTTGATGAATTCTCCCATGAGGAGGTGGGGCAAATGTCAGCTTCATAAGGAAGAATTAGAAACAGATTTTACAAGAAATGCCACTTAATTATGTTCAAGTATTCGAAGATTAGAAATAACAGAGACTCACATACTCCTTGAATAGACAAGTTGGTAAAGAAACATGAAATATCACTGAAACTTGTTTTCTATGCGCGTCTCCAAAAGAATTCTGCTTCTTTTATCACTGAATGCACAGCTGGGATACAAAAAGCCATACAAGGGTTTGCTGCATGACCCACTTTCTTCTCCTGACTACAAATGGCCATTTAAGTTAGAGAGATTCAACTGTTCTCATCAGCCATTCATTTTTAAATTATCCTGATCTGTAGTTTAAAAAGTCAGCACATGTAATTTTGTAAAAGAGGCAGCTTCCCCAAACACCAGCTCTCCAAGAACACAATTCAGTGAGCTTCTTTCAAAACAATTTTCCACAAGAACTCTGCTTCTGCCCCCAATGTAACACAAATCAATGGTGTTCAAAGGGGTAGATACTTACAGAACCACCAGGCTGGACAGGTTGGTAAAGGCAAAGTCGGGGATGCTGGAGATCTTGTTGAGTGCCAAGGTCAGCGCCTGCAGGGTGGGCAGGTTGCTGAGCGGATGCACTGGTACCTCCGTCAAGCTGTTGTCATCCAGCCACAAATGCCGCAACTGAGTGAGTCCCTCAAAGCTGTCCTCGGGCACCGAGGTGATATGGTTGGCATCCAAACGCCTGACAGAAACAACAACCGCCTTCAGCAACGATTCTAGTGGAATGAGTCAAGCCAAGTCACACAACCACTCAGAGTTCCAAAAAAAATAAGCTACAGAAATGACCATAGCCACAGCATTCTTGATTTCTTTCATTTTACTAGAAGTTCTTCCCAAATCTAATGTTTCTAAGACCAGGATATGAGAGTCAGTTGTTTATCTTCCTTCATAATAAAGAGATGTGTAAAAATCTGAATTTTTGGCTACGCATAATTGTATGGAAGAAAGACATGTATATATATACATATATATACATATATACATGCATATAAACATGTATATAAATATATATATCAACATATATATATATATAAACATATATATATATATATCTCGAGGTGCTGTCTTAGGGGCTTCAGTCCTCATTTTGCCCCAAATAAAACTTAAATTGCAATTCTCAAAAAAAGAAAAAGAAAGGAGCCATAAATCTCAAGCTTGAATTTTATGTCACAGACGGCACTTTTATCAAAAATATAGAAAAACAAGAAGAAGAAACTAGGCTGAGCAAATAAACTACTTTACTTACAAATAAAATATTTAATATTAAATTTAACCGCTATTCTGACTTGGTACCAAAGGGGAAAAAGTAAGAACATAATTTTAAAAAGTTTTTTCTGTATCAACAAACAATTTCATTAGATTCTCAACAATCCTTATTGTACTTGTGGCTTTTGAGTCACTTCAATTTTTCCCCAAATTTTGGAACTAAGGACACTTTACTAGTAGGATTACTCATTTTTAAAAGTTAAATTCCCATCTGAAAATCTGAGAAAACTAGTTCTAAATATTAGTGTTGACGCAATCAGGCATAATTGTTGGAATAACTGCTTTTAAACACAAAGATAAGCTAGTAATTAATATGTTGAGAAACTGCATGCCCTGGGCAAATCTCAATTTTCTTCACAAATCCCTTGTTGATATATCTTCACTACTTAAATCCATGTCTTAGAGGCTTAGACCTCTTGATGAAAATTAGTGCACACACACACACACACACACACACACACACAATGGGTGCAAGGTCAAAATGGAAGCCTGTTTTTGACGAAATCAACTTTGGCAGCTTTCAAGTTCAGGAAGTTCTGACTTCAGAGTGGTTTTCATGCTTCCAGTTTCTCTATGCGGCTCTAGGTTCGGATCCTGCCATAATTGTCCCTTCTCCTCCATGCAAGTGCTGAGCTCCTGCTCCCAACAAACTGCCCCAGACCCAGATGCAGTCTCCTTCCCAAAGGCAGACTGGTCGAGGTCAAAGACCCTTGGTCCTGGTGAGGATCTGATGGAAGCTTCCTTTTTGGTAGTCAAGATAACTGGAAGAGCACTAAAAAGGGGAGAGCTCCAGAAACTGAGCAGCTGCCTTAAGAATCCACTTAGAAACAAAGAGTTTTAGGCTTGTTTATTCCTTAGAGTTTCTAGAACCTACCCTTGAGACAGGCATCCTTTATGTAATAGACTGGTAAAGTACTGGCTACAGAATTGCTTAGCAGATCCACTTTACTGAGTAGACAGCAGTGTGTTCAAACACACACATTCACACATACACACACACACACACACACAGATGCACATATTTCACAGACTCAAGGTACTTCTATTTAGGGAGAGAGATATATTTTGGGTGGAGGGGAATTAAGGACATTTATTTCACATTCAGGCATCTGTACATTTTCTATAAATAAGGTGGAACTGAAATACAACCATATAATTAACCATATAATGTCACTAAATCATGCAATTAAATTCTCCTTATAGCTAATCTGTCTGCAATTCATTCAACACATGTAAGCTGAGCATCTTGTTAGGCGCAAAAAAGTAAAAATGGTGCATGCATGAGGAAGATTATATAATATAATTAACACACTGAAAAATGATTACAAAGTGCTTACAAAGTGTTATGAAGTAAATAAACAGGGTACTGAGATAAGGATTAGCAGGGGCTGCAGCTTCTGAAAATGTATTGAATAGGAAAAGCATCTCTAAGAAGGTACCATAAACAGATCCAGACCAAGGGGTCAAGAAAGCTGGGCCAGGAGTGTTTGAGGCAATACAAACAGTGAGGGCAGAGATTCAGTAGCAGAAACCAGCTGGTGTGGTCCCAGCAACTCCCAGAAGGTTCTAGTGACTAGAACACAGCAGGAAGAGAGTGGCGGGACCAGGGAAACCCAGATGGGATGCAAATGAGGACCAGATGACGCAGACCCCTGGAAGCCAGGTGAGGAGTTTGGATTATATTTTAAGCACAAATTGAGATTCCTCCCCGGTTTCTCAGCATCGTAATAGTTTAAAAGTGTGAACTGTTTATGTTGTAATAATGAGATAATATTCATTAACATTCACGAAAATAATGAGCAATGCTCCCCACACATACAACACTCCATTGGCATTAAGTCCTCTCTGTAAGTGTTAAGCAAAATAACTATTAGGGATGCGATGTACAACACAATAAACATAATTAACCCTGTTGTATGTTATATATGAAAGTTGTCAAGATGGTAAATCCTAAGAGCTCTCATCACAAGGAAAAAACGTTTTTTCTATTTCAAGTATCTATATGAGATGATGGATTTTCATTAAACTTACTGGGGTATTATTGGGTTGGCCAAAAAGTTGACTCTGAGTTTTCCATAAGATGTATGTTAAGTCAAATCGTTATGCTGTACACTTTAAAATTATACAGTGCTGTATGTCAATTATATCTCAATAAAACTGGAAGGAAAAAAGATGTGGGAAAACACTATAAGAAAAGTTGTCCAGGCCTTTTAAACAAAAGTCCAGTGTTATACACACCACTTAGGCTCCTACCGAATTCTGTGCCACATCCCACCAAAGAAAAGGGGTTGTCTTCACTGAGCAAGATAACTAGGTGAGTTTTGAGCTAAGAACAGTAATGAAACTACCTTCTATGCAAAGCAACTATAAACAATAAATGCACAGACACAATTTCCTCTGTTTAAAATTTCCCCAAATTATAAAGTCAGTCATAAGAGATAAAAAGGAAGAACTTTGGGAAATGGAAACCTTAAATAAAAAGTTAATGAGAAAAAGGATTTAGGGTGACTCAAATGGTTAATCCTTATGCCTCAATTCACATGGGTGTTGGTGGCACACCCATGAATATAATGAATTTGCACTTACACTAAGATCAATGTTTCTCAGAGAAATGGTCTTAGAAAAGTATGCATTTGTACCAATGATTTACACTATTAAAATTTGTCATAATTAATAGACCCCCCCAAAAAAACCTAATTCTTTCAATAGTGGCAGTAAATAGCATTAACTGTCTCACAAAGTGAAGAGATTATGCGGCTTAAGTTATTTTACCATTTCAACTCCATTTGGCAAGAGATAACTATTACTTTATTTAAGTGCACTTCAATTGTTAAACAGTTAACAATGTATTGACTGAATTCCCTTACTATTTTTGTCTTTAAAATGAGCTTCTATTCCCTATTTTCAAAAGCCTGTTTTATATTTTACTGAGACTCACATAGTTTTTTTCTCTTGCCTTAAATGAAATGACAGTAACAATTCTATGTGTATTTTCTGATGAATGTCTATGCTACCATAAACACATGTTCTATATAATCAAAAGCTCCCCCTTTTTCTCTCTACTCCTCATTCACCAATAATATAAACATTAAAGTATTATATTCTGTTACCAGTTTAAAATATTTAAGAAATTTTGTTATGGTAGAAAACCTAGGAAATTTAGTCATTGAAATCTTTTAATAGTTAATGTAACTCACTTACATTACGACTGTAAAGAATGTAAAGAATGACTGTAAAGAAAAAATTTTTTAAATTCTAGTGGAACAAATTCTGACTTGTCATTTTAATATCCTACTCAGGCAATGCTTTAGCCATTTTCATGGCTTAATGGAGGGCTGTTAGGTGAGCTTTTCATTAATATCTACAATTCACTTTCAGCTTTTATAGCCATCATCACCCACTTGAATCAAACCACTTCTGGTCAATTTCAAGCCCTAATGAACTTTGCTCCTTCTAAGCACTATTTCAAAACCATAAGGAAATCTTTCATGTAATTCAGGTCTGAAGATCACATTTTCAAACTGACTCAAGTGCTGATAAGACTGTTTTACACCAGGACAGAATTTCAATTGTATCTAACTTGACCACTACACCCACTATGCTAACAAACCCATGAATGTTTCCTTCTTAAATAAAACAGCCCTGGCATATAGCTCCTTGTATTTCTGATACGCTATGAATTAAAAAAAAAAAAAAAAAGCCCCAGTGCCTTTATTAAAAAAAATAGTTTAACTCCTCTCCTTACCCCAACCTCCCATCCCAATTTTGGACATAATTTAAACTATGCAATGCACTTAGTGGTGATGAGCACAGTATGCTTGGTTTAAAACATTACTTTTAGAGGGAAAAACCTATGATTTCTGTGAAAAATACTTTAAACCATCTAAATTACCAAAAATGTCATGTATATTTTAATGCACTTAAGGATGACAAATCAGGAAAAAAAATCTATTTACGTATTTTCTTGGTAGTTTTTCTAACATTCAAAGATTTTAGCCTTTTCTTTTTCAGCCTTCCAGCTAGACAAAAGGATTGAATATTTTGATCATTAAGTCTTGGGAAATAAGAACAATTCTGTATGAAGGTTCTGAAGGAAAACCAATTCTAAAGAAGCAAGAGAAAATGAGATCTACTTAAAATGTCTAATGAATTCAGATCCAAGGGAGGTGAGATGGCTCTCTCTGTATACTTCTGTCTGAGGTTAGAAATGGTGTGGAGGCAGTGAAGTCACGTTCTTTAAAGAAACTCACTCCAATCTGTTCACTAAAAGAATCTATTCAGAATCCTATTCAATTAGTTATGACAAATTCTTATATTCCAGAACTTGGCATATGGGTGAAATGAGCTACTTAACAAATTTCTACCCTCAATAAATTTATATTGAAACCAGAACTTAAATGGTCAGTACCCCAGATACTTTTTTATGATATTAGATATATTTTAAAGCTTGGCCTTTATAGCATACGTTATGCTTTATTAGTATATATTTTCATTTTCACATTCACTGCCCATTAACTATCAAAATACCTAAAGTCAAAGGTAATCTATAATTTACAACTTCCAGTGATATGCTTTTGGTTCAGTTAAAAATTATTTTATATTAGCCAGTGGAGGGGACAAGCCAGTCAATCATTTTCACCTAAGTCTTCCCTAGCTCACTTGCACTTCTACTAATGCTTACATTCATAGTTATTTCAAAGGGCAATTTAAAAACCTATGGGATAGATTAGTATACAAATATGTGATGTGGTGACAACCTAATTTTACAGCCCAGAACACCTAAGTAAGGTCTCTACTCCAGTTTTACTTAGTGATTCTCAGAACTGCTGTATACACAAGGATGATCAGGGTAAATTTTTTAAAATACAGCTTCTTGGACCCTACCTTTAGAGACACAATATCGTGACTCCTGGGATACGGCCCAAGAATCTGTATTCTAGCTATATCCCCCTAGTGATTCTGTTGTGGGTGGTCCAAGTGCCACACTTCAAGAAACTAGGCCTTAGTCCCACTGTATTTAGTATTAGGACATGAACTGAAGCAATGCAAATTTGTGTTCATTACTGTAGTAGAATAAGAAACAATGAAATTGCTTGTTATAAAGAATACTTCTTCATTACTTTCAGAGGATTCCTTCACCTAGGTAGGCAAGTTGGGTAATCTAGCAATTGAAAGAACAGATGAAACAGTCATTACCATTATTACTATTAATAGATTCTACAAATGTTTACTGAGCAACTTACTACAGGTCATATATTGTTGAAAGTGCTTTTCATGCATGAAAGTACATGGTAGGTAATAAGCAAACGACTCACAGAGAATTTTAAATAACCTATCCAACATCACACAGCTAAAAAGTGGCCAAGAGTGGGGATTCAAAACCAGACAGGCCTGTTCCAGAATTCTAATTAATCTGAACTTATCTGAATTCCTTTTGAGAGCAATATAAATATTCTGACAGATAAATACGTGAAGGGCTTCTCTTAAACTCGGGAAAAGACTACAATAACCACATGCTTCAGTTCAATGCTTCTCAATCTCTTCTAAAATCTAGTCACTGAAGACAGAGAAACTAGATCTTTTAAGTCAGGGATGAGGAGGCTGGACACTAGTCCACAACATGCATTCTAGTTATGAATAAATATTTGTCTATTTAACATAAATATGGTTGTTTCTTTAGACTCTTCTGTGGGTTTGCATAGGGCCAGTGATACTACTGCTGCTTACCTGACCCCCCCTCTAGCAAGAACTGGGGCATGCATACCCAAACCACAGAGTCAATTCTCCAGGTTCATATACACACACACGTACATTTATATGTGAAAGAATGCAAACAAGAATAAAGTGACGTGCTACATGAAAAAGCTTTTGAAAACAGTGGCTAAACATGGTTAAAACCAAAAGCTGAAATCTTTTTTTTTTATTGAAAAGTGGTGGAGTCGCTCAGTCGTGTCCGACTCTTTGCGACCCCATGGACTATAGCCCACCAGACTCCTCTGTCCATGGGATTTTTCCAGGCAATAGTAGTGGAGTGGGCTGCCATTTCCTTCTCCAGGGATCTTCCCGACCCAGGGATCAAACCCGGGTCTCCGACATTGTAGACAGACGCTTTAGCATCTGAGTCACCAGGGAAGTCAATACTTTTTTAATGAAGTATGACTGATTTACAATGTTTTGCTACTTTCTGGTATACAAAAAGGCGATTCAGTTATATATACGTATATTTCATATTCATATACATTTCATATATTTTTCCATTAGGCTTCCGAGGTGGCGCTAGTGGTAAAGAACCCATCAGCCAATGCAGGAAATGTAAGAGATGCGGGTTAGTTCAGTTCAGTGCTTCTCAATCTTTTCTAAAATCTAGTCCCTGGGTCAGGAAGATCCCCTGGAGAAGGAAATGGCAACCCACTCCAGTATTCTTGCCTAGAGAATTCCATGAATAGAGGAGCCTGGTGGACTATGGTCCATAGGGTTGCAAAGAGTTGGACACTACCAAAGAAACTTAGCATGCACGATTTATTAGAGCATATTGAATATAATTCTCTATGCTACACAGCAGGACCTTGTTGTTGAAGAGCTGAAATCTTGAATATTCCACATCAAGCCAACTTTGCCTCGGAAAAAAAAAAAACAAGAAGACAGCACAGGCAATTAAACTGCCATCCCTTACATGTGTTCAATGTCCACAGATAAAGATCTATAATCACTGTGCTGTAATGATCATTACCACCTGAAACAGAAACCTCTCTGTGGCTGTTTCTTCAGTGTCAAGGCACAAGACTCTAGGACTTCAGAACACACATAACCCTGACTCCAAAGAGAGTGTAATAACCTGCCACATGCAACCTTGTAGCTTTCTCCCAGCCTTGGAGATGATAGGACATTTCAAAGGACATTTCAGTAACAGCAACCAGTCATTCCCATTTTTATCCCAAATGAGAGGGTACATCTTCTTTCTCTAGGATTCCAGTTCTTTACATATTTAGCAGCCAGAGTGGTCTCCTAATGATGCAAGGATGCAGAAAACAAAGTTTACTTACAAAGACTGCAAAGCGCTCAGTCCTCGAATGGCTTCACTGGGTACTGTTTTCAACTGGTTGTTCTGGAGGGTTCTGGAAGGAAAACTTGGGTTAGTGAATATGAAGCAATTGTGACCATTTTTTCTTAGAAGGATTTAAAACCATTTCTTTAAAAAAAAAAAAAATCTTTCCAGGAGTCAAGGTGGAACGCATCTAAGATAAGAAAACTGCCAAAGAGTAAGAGGCATTTGTTGTTAAAGCCAGAAATATAATAGACTGCTGTCCCAAGCCATCTCCTAACACAGACCTGCTGGATCATCTGGGATTGTTTTGTCACTCTTGCTCAGAAATTAAGACACCCTAATTAATATTCATCACTGAGGTACCAGGAGTGTTAACTGGGACAAATAACAGGTTAACTGGGATGTAAGGACTTTCCTGGTGGCTCAGTGGTAAAGAATCCACTTGCAATGCAGGAGAAGTGGGTTTGGGTCAAGGAGATCCCCTGGAGAAGGAAATGGCAACCCACTCTAGTATTCTTTCTTGGGAAATCATGGACAGAGGAGCCTGGTGGGCTACAGTTCACAGGGTTGCAGAAGAGTTGGACAGGACTCAGTGACTAAACAACAACAGAGCAAGCAAATCCACTAGAATCCCTACTGCCTGGAATAAAGCATTATTCCAGAAAAAAGCATCTGGAATAAAGCAGAGTCCAGAAACATGGACATTAGAAAACAACAATCCTGCAAAGAGGACAGCAGATTCTGAACTCTTATGAACAGTGGCCATGTCCTCAGTGAATACAGGGCTGAAGTAGAACTAAAGCTTTGATTATCTAATTATCGCCAACCTGGAGAATGAAGGTATAGATCAGTAATGAAAATGAAGTCTTTACTATTTTTGCCTAATGCCCTTCCTGGTCACATTAATAAAATGACTACCTGATTAGAATCACCACCACAGAATGGAATGGAAAAAGGCCCATCTAACTCACTGAACCAGAGAGGTTGAGTGACTTACAGATGCTTATCCAGAGAGGTAGCGGCAAAGGGGGGCTGGTAGCCTGTTCATCCGCTCCCAATCTGCCAACCTCCAAGCTCCTGCCCACTGCCAGGAATGTATTTCCTGATCCCTCACAGGCTATGTAAATCATTGGCACCTCAATTTCCTTTAGTTCTAAAACGATTTTTACCATTTGGAGCTCTTGTAAGCCTTTTTGCCTTTAGGGTCAGCAAATTCAAAATTCTTATAGCTATTAATATAACAAAAGTAGAAACAATGGCGGGGGGTGGAGAGAAGTTGAAACAAAGCTTGCCAGTGAAGTTTAAATATGATTTTGATTCAATGCTTTAGCTACACATAAAGCCTAACATTCAACTGTAATGCGCTGGAGGTCAGAATACCTATTATTAAGACGTTAACTTTTGTTATCTAGACCCAAGTTTGCCTAAATCAGCCTCCCACACTACCCACTGGCCTCTCCCTAAATCTTTTAATCCTGAACCTAAAGAAACTGTGCTTAACCCAGCTCCAAGCATGTTGACTACGCAGAAAGAAAATACACAGCCAGCTGTGAAACTCTAAAATTGCATTACTTACAGAACTTTGAGTTCTTTCAACCCCGACAAGGCCTTTGGGTGGATAAAAGAAAGGTCGTTGCCAGCCAATCGTCTAGAAAAAAAAAGTAGCAAGAGAAAAATAGTAACTCAGATTCTTAAAATTCAGAACTCACAATAACCCAATCTGCTACTGAAGCTCTACATTAAACATCTTTCAAACCTAACTGACATTAAACATGGACTTAAACCTTTGCTAAAGCGATCCCAAGGTTCTTCCAATGAGATAAATGCCTCTAGAATTTTTTTTTGAACTCCAATACAATAATTTAAACAGGCACATTTTTATTCTGGTGAGGTCAAGCAAGCCAAAACACATTAGACCAAATTAAGTTTGCTATTCGTGGTCACTCTCTGCAGCTTGCAGTGTTTTCCAAGTGCCTCACAAATACAGAGCCCTGGTATGCAGCAGACAGGAGCTTTATACCCATCAGGGCAAGGAGGAATGAATGCCTTCGGGAGGCATCCTGTTACCTTTCCATAATCAAGGGCAGCATATTCCATGCAAAAGAGAAGCCAAAACTGAAAGTCACTCTAAGCTTTCCAAACAAAAGCATATTTTAAAAAACTAACAATTTTTTTCCTAAGGAAATTTCAAAGTGACAAATTTAACTGCGAGTTAAGAGTGAAGTAAGAGAAGGATGAGCTCCTTGAGTCCTTTGGTAAGAAAGGTGCACACAATTCAGACTGAGCCTCACTTTTTCTGCCATGTTCCCAGACACTCAGACATGGGAGGAAAAGTTGGACAGAAACTTCAGGGAGAAGCAGAAAGCAGTACAGCAACTCATATGAGTAACTTAGAAACAGGTGAATTGGAGGCAGATTTAAGTACAGCTGACCCTTGAAAAACAGCAGGTCTGAACTGCATGGGTCCCCATCCATGCATTTCTTTTCCAATAGTACATACTACTGTTCCACATAGCCCACGGTTGGTAGAATCCTTGGATGTGGAGGAACCTTGGATAAGGGGTGGGGGTGACTATAAATTATCAGTAGATTTACTCATGCCATTCAAGGGTCAGCTGTACTGACTTAAAAATGATAGTTGTAAAAAAAAAAAAAAAAAAGATAGTTGTGTGCCCAGATGATTAAACATAGGACTTTTCCAATTTCCTGGTTCCATCGGGGGGACTCTCCCAAGCAATGAGATTTTATATGTATGATTTTTTAAAAAAATGCTCTCCCTTTCACACCTTGGGATCACAGTCATCAAGTCATATTATTTTCTCCTTGAGGGGGTGGGGTCTACTTCTATTGTCTTTTCTCTTCTTTCTGTAAACACAGTGTCCCCCCAACCCTGAGCCTTAGTCAGCAATTCATTCACTGATTAACAAATGAGTGCTGTTCAGCCCCAGGGAGATGACATCCTCTTCTTAGACTTCAGGTTCTCCCCACTTCAATTTGCTCTCAGACACCCCGATTCTAGGACATAAAGATGGCTCTTTTGCCCTTCGTAAACTTGAAGTCACACAGATGTGAAACTATTCTTTAGATGCAATATTCTCTCTTGAAATTTTCGTCCCGGTTAAAACACAAATAGCCCTGGAAAGGATAACACTTGATTGTTTCCTAGTACTAACACAGTAATTGGGATGGAAGATGTGTGTGTGTTGGGGGGAGTGGGAAAGTGAAAGAGGACTCAGAAACCCAAAAAGTGAGTGTGTAGAATTATTTCTACAGTGCAAGGACAACCACGCCAGGTTCCCCGGCAGGGCTACAGTTTTAACACAAAGTTCATGCTCCTCAACTAAATCCTCCCTGGGAAGCTGTCTCATCCTGCATAGTTTCTCACAAGGCACCCTAGCACCTAAGCTCTAAATTGCATGCCCTTCAAGGGCAACCCTCAATCCAGGCTCACAATAGTTTACTGCAGACCATCAGCCTCATGGCCTTTCAACTCTCAGGTGAAAAGGACGGGAGAAGATGATGTTAAGATTTTTCAATGCTTGTATTTAAAACTATTCCTGGAGACTTCCCTGGTGGTCCAGTGGTTGAGAATCTGCCTTCCAATGCAGGGGACACAGGTTCGATCCCTGGTTGGGAAACTAAGCTCCCACATGCCACAGCTAAGACCCGATACAGCCAAATAAATAAATGCTTAAAAAATAAAACCACCCCTCCCCAGCAAACGGTCTGAGTTCTGAACTAGCCAGCTTCACCACTGTATCTTTCAATGCTTCACCTCATGACCTAACCTTCACTCCTTAAAGTCCTGACTCCAGTGTGAGTGGTGCCGAGTTGCTCAGTCGTGTCCAACTCTTTGTGACCCCATGGACTGTAGCTCACCAGGCTCCTCTGTCCATGGAATTCTCCAGGCAAGAATACTGGAGTGGTAGCCATTCCCTTCTCCAGGGGATCTTCCTGACCCAGAGCTCAAATCCTGCATCTCGTGTCTCTTGCATTGGCAGGTGGGTTCTTTACCACTAGCACCACCTGTGTAACTTCCCTCAAAAACTTCAGTTCTTACCATAAACAAGCCTTGTGTGGTCATTACACAGGCTGTCTTCTACTCATTGTTTCTAGTGCGTTAGTCTTACAGGCCAAATACAAAAGCTTCCAAGAACAGGTCTTGCATTTCACAATTCTGTCGCCACCCACAGGTGTGTCAACCCAACAGTCAGAAACTGCATTCTCAGCATTTCCTCCCTGAAAACAGACAGCATCCCAGAGTCTACCTGAGTGAGTGCAGGCTTAGGACAAGCCCTCTCAGGAGGCTTTCTATACCCCAGACTCACGAATTACATTCAACTGATAATCCTCAGGGCTCTAAGGCAGTGTTCAAAAGGTCACACTTTATAAGATCAAATTGGACCATAAGGACTAGAAGGGAGAACAGATTCCATGTCCCCAGGGTGGCAAGCAACTATTATCTGAAAGATCAGCTTTAAAAAGCTGACCACCAAAACACAAACTCTGTAAACAGACCAAGGCTGTCACAGAATTTTATCTCTAATATTGGTTTTGAATGTTCCCCTATCTATTGGCTTTCCTTGAGGAGTTCAGTCTATTGTATTGAAAAGAGGGTTTTGATAAAGTGTGATTACCTTTACTTGTCAACAGAAAAGAGTGCTGAACCACAACAGCCAAAATATTTGCTTCCCTTCCCCTGCCTCTTTATAAACCCTGGGAAAACTAAAGGAGCCTAACCTCCAAAAGCAGGTTCCTCACTTACAAGAGTAAATAGATCAAGTAGAGCCTTCGGGAATGCATCTACCCATGTTTACCAAGCAGCTGGGTTAATGAATAATAAACACAGCAGCTTAATAAAGCCTCTGCAGCTTCAGCAACTGTTCCCTCCCAAGTCTCTTTACATTTTGCTTATTTTACAAGACAGTATTTCTTTTTTCTCCCTAGTATTTCTTATAGTAGACTCCATGGATGCCTCATGTCCAAAAACTCACACCCAGGAGAGACCAAAGTGAATAAAGAACAGGGTTAAGGACGAAGTCCCAAACTCTGGAAGGAAAAGCCTACTATGTCCTGTGCCCACAGTAGCTGCAGGCACTGAGTCAGGTGGTTTACATTCTTGTCTCTCAGTCTTCTCCGGACAGGGCCCTACTCCTCTGGGTCCCTGAGAGGTGAGGTGACTCGGCAGAAGTCACACAGCGGGCAAGCAGAGGGTCCAGCAGTCTAGTCCTCTCTCGCCTGGCTGGCTCCAAGGCTTACTGTGTGCTTTGGCAACTCGATGCCTCTGGTGTGTCATCAAGAGGTTGGGAAAAAATTCCCAGAGGTGAAACACAGTGGACCTGGGCAAGTTAATAGTCTTGGTTGAGGAGCAACAACTCTCAGCAGAGCAGAGCTCACAGCAGGGACTGCGGCATCAGGAGCTCAGAGCCGCAATTATGGAGGAATTTCCAACAGATCATCGGGGCATCCTCCCCACAGTCAGAGATGAGCAGTGGCAAAGTGGGGTAAGATGGGATCCCTGGGTGGCTAAGAGTGGCAGGCAGCAAGCCCTAAACTCACTCCGACTCTGTTTAGGATACAAAGCACTCTCCACTGTACTTATCCTCAGTCAGCAAAGAATCCGCCTGCAATGCAGGAGATACAGAAGACATGGATTCAACCCCAGGGTCAGGAAGAGTCCCTGGAGGAGGAAATGGCAACTCATTCCAGTAATCTTGCCTGGAAAGTCTCATGGACGGAGGAGCCTAGCAGGCTACAGTCCAAAGGGTTGCAAAGAGACACCGCTGAGCGAATGAGCACACCGCACGCTGAAGGCTGATCTCGAGGAAATATTTGTCACCCATGACCCTCTACGAACAAAGGCCGGCTCCTTCCCTTTCTTGATCTGCACTGGTCTGTGCTACACCCAACAGTTTTCTCTGCATCTCACTTCATGAGGACCTACTGGCTGGCTCCATAAAATTTTTAATTAGGTAAATGATGATATTTGGTTTTTTTTTTTTTATTGATGATATTTGTTATCTTTTACTATTATTGTGATGATGATGAGGCACTAAAGGAAAAAGAAGAAACAACTTCATTACAGCGAGAACAGAGGAATAAAATGAAGAGTGGTACCATATTCTGCCGCTAATGGTAGGCAGTCCCAGACATCACCACCCCTCCTCCCCCTTTCTGCACCCCCTTCCCCCAACTGCAGCTCATCAGTCTCCAAAACCCAGAGAGAAGCCCGTGGAAGGTCTCAATCCATCCATTCTTACTTTTCCTGCTTTGCCACCTGAGTCTAGACCCTCATTTTCTTCGTCCTGGATTACTGCCATGAACCTCCTTAGATTCTTGCCTCAAACCACTTCATTGTAATACTGGGAGATCTAAATCTTAAAAAGCACAACTGAGCATTTCCCCAAATGCTTCCCCTGCCCCCCACAACTGAATCAGCTAGACCTTCAAGCATGATCCTCTCCTCCTTTCTCACCTTATTCCTGAATGTTCCTTGTAGCCTACGTTTTAGCAACACCCTGCTTTCCCGCCTCAGGTCTTCTGCTTATGGCACTGCCTCCATCTGAAATATCCCCACTCCAGTCTCTGCCAGCTGAAAACCTTATTCATCATCACTGCAAGCTGGATGTTACCATCAGTGTGGAACTA